TTTTTATATAGAGAGAATTAAATCAAAATATTGTTAATATTATCTAAAAATATAGCTTTTCATTGTATACCGGGTGATAACAAAATTTTTATATAAAGCGCCCTTCAACAGTTTTTTGTTAATGAACATTGAAACTAATGATTCATTGCTGATTTACATGAGCTAAGTTACCTGGAATGGGAAAATTTTCTTGCTATATTTAAATATGTTTCTATTTTTTTTTTGAAAATAAACATATTTCATGACGTGCGTTTACTGAACGACTTTAGCTGTCCCTTAAGAAGATCTATTAGTTATTAGCCCGCAATTAACTTTTCCCGAGAGGTACGTTATACCGGAGCAGGGCCACCCTTATGTTGTCTAGTTTCCGGGACGTAATTCCCGGCACCTGCCCTAGTACCCCGTATTCCCTCTTTCGCCTGGTCGGCGACTCTACTACTAAAATAGAACCCCTATCTACACCTCGGAAGGACACGCTACACCGGAGCAGTTGTCAGGCCACCCTTATGTTGTCTAGTAAAAACTCTAACGTGATTGGTCGGGCTTAATAGTTGTCTGCTAGGGCTAGACACAAGTAAGGTACTCGACTGGCGCTCCCCTCCACTCAGCCTGCACTAGCAGAGTAGGGCGATCTGCGCGAACGGTTCGATTTCTCGCATTAAACTATAGCGACTAAAATCGATCAAACAATATGGCAATTAAATATTTAACTTATTTAATTCAACAATCGGAACATTCATTACCATATTGATTTAATAATTAACAATAAAATACATTGACTGTCATTATTAAAAGAAAATGAAGTCCTTATTATTTTAGTATAATATTAATTAACACAATATACAGGGTGTCCCAGGAATGAGTGCAGAAATTTTTATGAACTTCATTACAATACATTCATGATTTCCAACACAATTTCATGCTTCTTCAACTAATGGTTTACTGCCGACACGGATAGATACCATCCTCGTCAAAACGATCCGATATTGTACAGTGTTTTTCTTATACTTAGTTAATTCCATATACATATAACTTAAAATATACTCAGTGTTCCCTATTTAACCCCGTGTGCTGTTTCCGTGCCGTAAGACAACGTAACATAACTCAGCTCCATAATGCTGCATAAGTCTATTTCACCCGGATATGGATTGAACTGCGATTGCGCCAAACTCCGATTGATTGTTGTTTTAGTTCTGTTTGGTTTACTTTTTATTTGTGCGCGTAAAAAAGTGATTTGGTTTAGTTTATTGTTTCCAACTATTTTTTGATATTTTTTTTAACTCCATGATAATGTGTTATAAATAATAAAAATAAAAATAAAATTGAAGGTTAAGTGAAATGTCAGTCAACCACTTCCCTTTAACAACACCGACCAATGAAAACTTCTTCAGGTAAGGCATGCGCAGTTAAATGAATATCCGGGTGAAATAGACTTATGCAAAATTCCATATTTCTTTTTCACTGTTTGGGCTTCACTTTTTAGAGATTAGGCTGAGTATAGGTAGTTATATGTATATGGTTAATTCTAAATATTTTTTAAATATTTTTATGAGAATAAATTTTTGCCATAATACATTTATAAACTCCAACCCGATATTATGTATGTAGAATGGAACAAGTTATAACTCATCATACAGTCTCAGGGCTTTGACGAAAGCCAGTATCTGAGACGGCTCCACAGAAGCCAGCTTTTTATCTCCGACATCAGCAGTACCAAAGTTTATGGCACGAACGGTTTTTGTGTCGGCGCACTCAGTAAGTAATAAGGTGTTCTGGTGTTTCCCCATTTTCTCCACAGAATCTGCATTCGCCATAGTTCCTAAGCTTCAATCTACAGAGATGTTCGTTGAGGAGACAGTGTCTTGTTAGAAACCCTGTGACAATCCGAAGATTATTTTTACTTAAATCAAGTAAAATCTTTTGATTTTTCTGATCTGATTTTTCTCGTGGTAAGTTCTCAAAAACTTTTTTGAATATATTAGAGCGTTGGAGGATTCTCATTCCACGTTAGGAATGGAGTCTTCCTTGAGTTCCGCTTTACCCGATATCAAACTTCTTCGGCTAAAGATTCATTGTAGAGATGAGCAAAACTGCAGTCGCAATTGAAACTGCGATTGCGATTTTTAAATCACAGGGACTGTAACTTGCGATTCCGATTTAATATTTACCAAGCCAAATTATACGTAAAGAAATGCTTTTTCTAAAAATGTCAATGCCAGTAAGCCACCCTCGTTCCATTTGAAGAAATTGAGATATAATTAAAAATACGATTTGGGCTCTTTTAACTAGCCAGGACAAGACGAAAAAAAAGAAACAATAGACGATCAAATCTATTTTTCCAAGGCATCTTGATTAAAATTAGTGTTTTTAACACAGGCATGTTATTCTAGATTGAAATTTAAAATAGGATTTTTAAGCGAAAATGTCAAAATTTGCCATATGATATGCCTTTCTGTTCAGAATGTCATTTTCTATCGAATAAAGTAAATAAATACCGAGGGTGTTATTTAAAAATCAAAAACTGTAGTAATTTCCTGTGAAACAGGAAGTGACTAAAACAATTGATACATCGTCACTCCTAATTTATGTCATATACTAACATACCAAATCTCGTTTTTTATCAGAAAAAAATAAACAGTTATACAGAACTCTTGAGAAACACCCGGTTTATTATTGATTGTGGCCCTAGAAAATAATACCTTCTCTATAAATAAATAATATCAGAGAGAAAATTCAATCGCAGTTTACTATAAAATGCTTCAATAGGCCACAAAATTACATTCGCAACAATATCGCAAATCGCAACTCCTAAAAATTCAAAATCGCAGATAGAAATCACGGTTCCAGTTTACAAAATCACATTCACAGCTCTAATAATACTGGTTGCTTAAATTAAAACTCTGAAATAGAAGAAATCCCAATCGCAGTTTCCTATGAAAGCCAATCACATCACTATGAGAGCCGACACATGTCTTCTCCATCAAATGGTTCGATATTCGTTACATTTTATTTTAAATATTTTAAATATTGTTTTGGAAATTACTTATGGCCTTAATGAATTTATAAGCTCTCTAACCCGATATCATGATACTTTTTCAGTACCTAATGGTTCACTGTTGATGGACACATACCATCTTTATCAAAACGACCCGATATGGTACAGTGTTTCTATTAAAGTTAATTCTAAATATTTTTGTGAGAGAATAAACTTATAACGCTAACTATAATCATATTATTTAATATTGATTTATTTCTAGTTTATAGTACTATCACCAATAACCGGAGCGTATATAATTTGACGTGAGCCGTTATTTATTTCTAATAAATTAACTTGGAGCGTCAACTTCATTACATTCCAGCGATATATACCGACAATGTTCTTCATTTTTAAACTGTAAAACTTTTATTAATGGTCTCTCGATCTTTTAGATTTTTACGGTCTATGGAATTCCAGAATAGGAGACGTAGCTGCGGACTTCTATGCTCTATAATTAATTATTGCCTTTTATAAGCGTGTAAGAATGTACGAACGAAAGTTAAACACTATTTGTCTACAAATAAAAGGGGTATATAAAGCTTTTTAAAGGTAAGAAACCTTTTTTTAACATACGTTATTAGATCTTCTATTGTGTATTATTTATAGTAATGTTACGTTTTTTTGTGGGTATAGGTTGCAAAATTTAAAGTCAGATTAAATTAACGAAATTTATTTACAAGAAAGAACGTCAACGATTTTTATACAGTATGTCCCGGGATTGTGTTTACAAGAGGAAATTTATTTTTATTATTGACATTTTGGGAAAAATGCATTCTTCGTAAAAAAAATTACTTACTAAAATGGTTAATCCTTTATTTAACATTACTAAAATAGTTATATTTTTCCAAATTTCCATGCCGTTTTAGAGAAAATTAAGAAAAACATGAAAATATAGCTTATTCTTTTATAAGTCTTAAAAATCAAAAGGCGTTTCTATGGTATATCAATTCGATTTCATACTTTTTTGTTAATTTTGATTAATGTCATATTGGGTGTAATTAATAAAAATAAGCATTTGCTTTTACTACTATTTTCCTCAGTAAATGCTTGGTTTTATATTAATAAAAAGAAAAAGCAAATTCTTTGCAATGAGCAGTTTCTGATGCCTACTAGCATAAGTATTTGCACGCACATAGATTAATAAAATTAGGAGTTTGCTAGTGAAAATAAGCAAATGCTTTTAAAAATATAAGTCTGTCTATTTAGTTGGTTTCAATTATCGGTTTGAAATGTTGAATCTTTTACGTTCTCAAAAAACATACAAAGTAAGGCGGGAGGATCCCGAAATCGTTTTCAAAAAGTTGTTTAGATTTACCCCTCAAAGTGTATCCTGGCTGAGCGAACATTTTTTGGAGAATGAAGAAACTCGCGGTGGCGCATTGGACTGAAGAACTCAAATGAACATTTTTCTAAGATTCGTCGCTGATCCAGGTAAAAAATAAATCATACACAGTGGAAATAGAGAATAAGCAATTGCTTATTGCAATCAATAATTATTGGAAATCATTTTTAGGATTCCAAAGTGGAGTATCTGAAAACAGGAGTATCTCAAGGGACGGTATCACTAACAGTTAAATATGTAGCGCAAAAAATAACAGAAAAAGCTGCTGTTTGGATTAAATTCCCTTCAACTATTCAGGAAATTGACACGGCAAAAAATGAGTGGTTAGAAAAATACCAGTTTTCTACAGCAATTGGCGTATTAGGTTGTACCCAAGTGAAAATAAAAAAGGTTGGGATTCAAAGGCATGGAGGTGAATACATCTGCAGAAAAGAGTTCGATAGTATAAATGTTCAAGCCACCTGTGATGCAAACGAGGTCTTTACAAGTGTTAGCGTCGAATGACCAGGATCAGTACATGATAGTAGAATTTGGAGGAATAGTGCAACTTGCCGAACACTCAGAAGATTTGACAATGCGATACTTCTAGCTGACCAGGGTTATGGTATTGAAAACTGTGTAATGACACCTTTTGTCAATCCTCAGACTCCAGAACAATTGGCTTACAATAACCTTTTTAAAAGAGAGAGGGTAATTATCGAACGATGTTTTGGGCAGTTGAAGCAACGATTTCCAATATTACAAAACATAATTCGATTATCACTTGCTTCAGTTCCAACAATTATTATTGCATGTTTCATATTACATAACGTAGCAAAATTTCTGAATGATGATGCACTAGATGATGTCGATGATGATGAAAATAATGAAAAAGATGGCGAATGTGGAGAAGCTGAAGCAAATGAAGATGATATAAATAATTTTAGATTATTAGGGCAAAATAAAAGAAACAGATTGGCTGAACTGATATATTCCCAGATTATAATTTAAAATACTTTTTTTACAGAGAATAAAATAGTTCTTCACCGTCTGTTGATATTTTGCTTGTCACGCCGGAGTTTTCTCCCATTTCTCGACGCAGTTGTTTATTTTTGTATCTGAAGTAAGACAGCTGTTCAAGTAGAACAAGGCGCTGCAGCTCAGAATTGGACAATTTCTTTGTTTCTGTAGTTTCGGTAGAGGATGTTGCCGATTCTCTTTTTTCCTTGGGACGTTTCGGGGTTGGCGGTGGAGGTTTTGGCATCACAACTTCTGGAGCTGATGATGGACCTGCTTCTATGTGACCAGGAGTTTTGTTGAGCACTGGGTTGTTACTATTCGCTCCGTTCATAACGGCAAATACAACTTGCTCGGCAGGACTCGATTTTTTTATTTCCAGTACGGTTCGTGTCTGTTTTCTTCTTAATGGCAGCCTTCAAGTTATTTATCTTCTTCAGGATATTTTTTACTGCTATAAATTTTCCGTATTTAGTTTCTAGTTCGTTCTTCAATGTAAAAAAAAAAAAAAAATAAATGTTTATTTTTTTTTTCTATTGCGTTATTTTTCTGCGCTTTTATCGATGGCACTTGACTTTTATTTATAATGACTGGATGCTCTTTTAAAAAGTTAACAATATATGGAAGTTTACTATTTTCACTTTCATCCAATTCAGAAGATGAAGACGACGACATGATTAGAAATATATTTCACAATTGTTAAATTTTAACCTCCGAAAATAAGACAGGCCCATGCATATATTGGCCTAGAATGTTTACTTCTTGACGACAAAATTCCAAAACACGAATAAAAAAGATAAATATGCATTTGTTATTAATTTTAGCTCGTTTCCATACAAGCATATCCTTATGGCAAAAGTATTTGATTATTAATATAAAAATAAGGATTTGCTTGTACCACTAGCATTTGCTGAAAAGCAAAACCTTTTGCTTAGAAGTAAATGCTTCTAAGCAAATCCTTATTTTTATTAATTCCACCCATTATTTGCTGTTGTTAAAGTACCATATTTGTCGATAACTATCATCACCCTTTCCGTAGCATTGAACTAAAGAAATTTTATGATTCTTTAACATTTTAAAACAACAAAAAAATTATGTTAGTTAAAATTCTATATGAATAACAATATATCAAAGGATGAAATCGAATTGATATTACCATAGAAACGCCTTGTGATTTTTAAGACTTTATTAAAAATCAACCATATTTTCATGTTTTTCTTAATTTTCTCTAAAACAGCATGGGAATTTGAAAAGGTATAAACAGGATTAACCATTTTAGAACAAGCAAACATTTTTCAAAAAGATGCATTTTTCTCAAAATGTCAATAATAAACAAGTGTTTCCTTTTGTAAAGACAATCCGTGGACATACTGTAGACGTATCTGTTTAAAAAAAAACTAATTTGTTCTCGAATAGTTGGATTTAGATATTTTAAATAGCTTTTTTCTTTGTACTGTGTGTTTTTTTGCTTCAGACGATGCCGATGGCAAGAGATATACTTCCCCAAAACGTTAAGAATTTTTTTGTCCGTTAGGCAAAATTGTTTATTAGTAAACCACTGTTGACAATTAGTCTCCGTTGGATTATCGCAGCAGTGCTTACAAAAAATAACAATCTTATTTTGTAGAGTTTCTTACAGTCAGTGGCGAAATATCTAAAGGTAAAGGACTTTTTTTGAAGAGATGAATCCGCCACAGAGGTATATATGTTACTGTAAATGTACGAAATGCGGTAAAACCTAGGATAAGAGCCCTAAACCTAGGATTTACCAATGAATTAACACTCTCCAAATAACCACGCTAACCAAGTCAAAATACATTTCGGACATTTACAGTGACATATACATTTTTAAGAAAAAGAAACACATTTAATAAAACTTAACACTAATGAACAATTAGAACTAATTTATTATACAATACTTACAATAATTATTAATTACTACAATAATTATTTATGTCCGATGTCTTCTTTTCATCTGTCGTTGTATTTATCTATTGAGAGAAGGCGTGTGATCTCAACATCGGTTTTTATCCGGTATCTACCGAATCTAAAATTGGTGTTGTATTTCAAACAGGTGTAGTCAAAACCGGTATTGAGATCAACGCCGGTTTGTGAACTATCTTATATCTCAAAGTACCTACCTACTTTGCTTAGAAGTATCTTGTAACTTGTATTTCAGAAACTTTTTATGAGGTATCTTGTACATCTCTGATAAAATGAAATGCAAATAAACGTATATTTTTTGTTTGAGTATATTCTCACTAATTAATTATAACCCATTCAATAAGCCGGTATTCTAAAGTAATTAAAATAAACAAATCCCGAACCGACAACGGTCAATTACCGCAGACCGAGTCTGATTATAAAACTTCTCTTTTGAAAAGAGAGTGAAAGCTTCAAATCTGAATTTAATATACAAGCCTCTTACTCGCTAAATACATGAAAAACCGGTTTGGTTTGTTGGATGGTATGTGGTGTTTTGATAAACACCACATAACACCCAACAGGTCTAGATGCTGGGAACGGGGAGTCGGAGACGGGCGACGAAGCTGGTCTGCACCAACGATTCGCAGCTATTTGGATTGCTCTGTGGAGATGTTTCTTTGATTTTAAATTTAAAAGAAGTGACTGTTTGACCTTTAAATACAAAGTTTTTATATCCTTTACTTTGTCTTTTGCTATACCTAAAATAAAATGCAAATAAGCGTATATTTTTTCTTTCAATGTAAATCCAACCATTTTTGTTCGAGTATATTCTCACTAATTAATTATAACCCATTCAATAAGCCATTATTTTAATGCAATTAAAATAAACAAGTCCCGAACCGACAACGGTCAATTACCGCAGACCAAGTCTGATTATAAAACTTCTCTTTTGCAAAGAGAGCGCAAGCTTCAAATCTGAATTTAATATACGAGCCTCTTACTCGCTAAATACGTGCATTTCAGACGGTCCACAGATTAAAACCGAGAGATCCCGGTAATATTTCGCCTGGTCATTACATCATCGCTGAGAGGGCTGAGCCGGGGCTTACCATTAACATATTTAATAAGTAAGTTGAGCCCTCCGACTTAATAATACGCCGTTTTAAACAATGCCCCCGGTCGATGGTGTAATTTTGCATATTACGACGGCCGCTTTTTGAAATAATGGCGCCTTTTTTCTTATTCTTTTTTCTACATTCTGTGTTCACCAGTTAATAAACTATACATTTTAAGTTATTCTAGCTTGCCTAAAATATGTTCTCTAAATATGTCGTCAGCTCTTAGGCTAATACATTTTAGAATAATGGTGTATAGTATATACACATCAGCAATGAAGAATTAGCTGCGGAAGAATGATATTTGGGTTGAAGGTCGTGCAGGTCGTTTAACCTAACCTCCATAAAACGCTCTCAAATACTGGCTTTTGTCAAAACCTTGAGACTGTTTGACGAGTTATAACTACTCAAGAAATGGAGACACAATAGATCTATAAGGCCGCAGTGATTAACTTCCAATTTCAATAAAATTTACAATCTACACTATATAGATTAATAAGTTGCTTTGTTTTAAGTTTTTTTGTTGAATTTTACGATTTGTTAAAAATAATTTATGGATGCAATAAACTACTGTGAGCTTTATTCATACATCGAACCACGAAAAGTATAAAACGACAAGCTCTAACATCGCGAGAAAATGCACTAAATTATCTAATTTCTATTCCCGTTAATGGAATTGGAGTTTCTTTTAGCTAACAACAAGAAATGGACAAAAAAGAAGGCGTTTTAATGGACACAATAAATTTCCTGAACATCCGAATCTGTTGAACTCTGTAGGACAAATAGGACAGAAGGGAACAACCTATCGAACAATTCCAAAATCTATAAATAATAAATGGACTCGTTAGAAATATAAATGAACGTTCTGAATTAAATGTCATTTTGTTGCCTGACGACTATAAATATTTAGTTTTTGTTGGACAGTGTTATACAGTTTCTATGAGAAATTAATTCGGAAGAAGAATCATTTGCATACTAAATTTGTAGTTTTTAGTACTTTAAATTATCATATTAAATTAAAGTTAAAAAAATAACTGTCCGTAAATATACAGGCTGTCAAAAAATAGTGTATCTAACTATGGTGGGTGATTCTACAGATAAAAATAAAACAAAATTTTCTTGAACATAAGCCTTAAAACGCTTATCGAAGAAGTTACAGCCTTCGAAAGGGTAAATAAAAATAATATATTTTTTAAGCCAGTGGCACAAAAAATGAAGTTTTACGGATTTATTAACGTCCCTAAAGTGTATCTCTTTGGCCGCTTTTTTACTTTACGGCCGCTTTTGCAAACAAAGTCATTATGATGGTAGCCTACTAGACACATTAAATTTACTTATTTAAGTTATTTCCACGTCCTATAATAAGATTGTCAAATTATAAAGGCGGCCTACTAGACACACTTGATTTGCATATTTTGATTATTTACCCATAAAACAAAAGAAAAGGTTCCGTTGCTAGGCTATTTATTTACAAGCTTTCCGTTTCTATCAGTAAAATGAAATTTAAAATAAATAACTAACAAATAATAAAAACCACATTATACGCTTAGATTATACGGGATATACTGTGATTATACTGTAAATGCAGTTAAAAAGAAAATATGAGTGACAGTGATAGTGACAATCCAGCTAAAATTTATAACCCAACTTCTGTTCTGTTTAGTATAGTAATTCTGTACACATCTTTGCTACTTTATAATACAGTTTTCATTTGGTTAATAAAAATTTGAATCTAATCTTCCAGTTTCGTCTTTATTTAGACACAAAATTGTAAAAAAATTGTTACCTACGTCAAAAGACGCTCGCTTAAAAAAATTGTGTGCACCTCGGCCGTATGATCTTTTTTGTCCTCAACTGAAATTTGATTGGTGTCGGCTACGCCTCGGCCGCAAATTTCAGATTCGGCCAAAAAAGATCAACTTTACGGCCTTGGTTCACAAATAACTATGTATT